TGTTGTTGGATTTAGATTTGGCTTTACGGTATTTATTTGGTATTCCTAATGTCATGAAGGATATGTGAAATTCCTCTAACCAGTAATTGAATTTCCACTATATCTCCCTATTTCTCAATGCTATCACAAGTTGTTTATCTTTTTTTAAATATCAGGTACTCTGTAAAGAAAGTGGAGTAGGACAAAAATGTTACTCCATCTGTATTGTGTTCCAATTTGGGTAATCCTCCCCAACTTTTTGGGGAGTTTACTAGGAAAATGCAAGTACCAGTTAGTGTTAATTAATTTGATGTGCAGCTAGAATATACTGTGTTTCCCTGAAAATAAGACCTACCCCAAAAGTAAGACCTAGCGCTATCTTCAGAGATTTCTGTAATATGGGGGGGGGGGGGGGAATATAAGACAGTGTCTTATTTTCGGGGAAACGCAGTATATGCTGCACCTGTTGATTTACAACTGCTTTCATCTGGACAATAGAATCATATTATTAAAGTAAATACGGCTGCATTTAATGATTATTTTCATAATCGACTAGTTGGCAGATAATTTTTTCTAATAATCGATTAATCGATGAAATACCATCCTTAATTTAAAATAAAATACAGTGTTAAAACAAAGTTTACTTCACAATACAACTGCGTGCACATCTGTTTGCAATCGCACTGCACTGGAACGCACAGCATTGCGTTACCATGCGTTCCAGTGAGGGCGATCACACTGCGGCGGAAGGGGGTGTTTGGGTGCCATTGAAATGAATGGCACTGCAATACACCTCCAGCAGCAAAATTGACTTTTTCCCTACCTTTTATAAAAGAATTGTATTGTAAGCAAGTTGCCAGTGGCAAGATTCCGCAGATGGCAGCTGAATGTAAATATAGTAGATAGTGGGCTGGTGCAATAGCAGGCTGGCTATTGCACCCGCCCACTGCTTGCTGTGCCCTCCCAGCATGGAGGAGAGAGCTAGGGGATCCAACCAACTAATCGATAATGAGAATAGAGAGTCAAAGAAAAGTCCTTCTTTGTACTCATGTTCCAGGTTTGTGACTCACAGTACGGAAGCAAGAGGATAAGATTGACAGCCAAGTAACTTGTACTGCATTGCCAGGAAAGAGGTAACCAATGACAGCCTATTTGGCTATTACACAAATAGGGTCATGTAAAAATTTATAAATTAAAAAAGTCCTTTTTTGAATGTTTATGGAGGTAGCCATGTTTGTCACATTTAGAGATTACAGTGACATCACATGATAAATAACCATAGCAAGATAAAGATTTGATGGTTGATTAGATTCACGGTTTATAAAGTTTATAATAATTTATTTATAACAATAAAATGCAGCGGCCAATAAGTAAATCTGGTGTACGTATTTTATTTATTTAGGTAATTAGATGATGCTCATTGTCAAATGTCACCTGCAGCCCCATGAAATTACCAGTATTTATTGTTAATCTGTTTTCTTTTTTTTTAGTGTGCAGCCCTGATGTGGGGTTGGCTCCTTTAAAAATTAACTCCTGTTGCAGCTGCAGGCGGAGCCTGGTATCAAAGATTTGTGGGGAGTGAGTACACAGCTAGGGAGGAGTCCTGTCTGTACATGGACTACATTTCCCAGGGTGCTAGGGGAAGTGAGTTCTGAGTAGAGACGGTTGCTGGATTCATTCCAGTACAGGGAGACACAGTACACAGACTGTCATTTTCTATGCTGTGCAGCCAGAGGGATAGAGAGACTGTACTCACTTGTCACAGGTGCATCCTGAAATTACATCTCATACACAGAGGAATTTGCTGCTTGCTCTGGTCTGGAAGACAATTGGCTGAGACTTTGGGTGAGGTGCCATCCTGTTGAGAGGCCCATGCGAACGGACGCTGAGGCTGAAGACAGGACCACCTGATGACATCAGACAATTCTCCATCTCCTAATGGACGTGTTTCTTCATCGCAGAAGATAATCCCTGACGTCTCTTCTGGCTGCAAACTGCTCACTGTGTATGGATGAGAGGCCTCCGACCTTTTGTTGTCTCTAACAGTATACACAGATTGCTCTACCATTTGTATTGGGCCTCAACTTTGGCTAGCTGAAGATACTACCACTGGCCAGTGGGTTAGGTACCTGGGTACATTGGGACTACAGCTTGTGTATAGTTTGATTATCGTTCAGTAAGCTTACTGTTAAAACAGCTGCATTGATAGTTCATTACTGTGTCTCATACATAGTTGAGGTGTCATACTGTGTAGAGACAAATGTTATGCTAATGCATTGATATTCAGATTACAATATACAGTAAACATTCATTCAAAACCTCTCAAGGTGTGCTGTGTATTTATTATTGAGGTTCATCACAGAGGAAACACAGGCAGAGGAAACACAGGGAGACCCGTTAGTTCTATTCCTGTAGATCACACTTTGGAGCCAGAGGTAGTGTTATCCTGCATTGGGGTATCACTGACAAAGAAAAGGGGGATCGCTACAAGTGATTCAGGGCTTGTTCACACCATGTCCGGACCAGATCTGAATCAGGCGGCATTTTTTTCCCCCGCTCGGAAAGGGCTGGTGTGAACAGAGCCCAGAAATGCCATAAGGTCCCCACACACCTTACGATAATCGTACGATAATCGCGGGAAATCCAGCGATCGTGCGATTATCGTGAGGTGTGTGGAAGCCGTGCGACATCTACTACTGTAAGGTCGCATGACTTTAAACTTACGGACATGTTCGAAAACCCGCCGCGCATCGTACGATGTTCGGCGGGGTTGTGGCATGTCCGTACGATAAAAGCGCACACTGCCCGTTCGGCATTGCGGTCATAGCAAGCCCGCCCCTCGGGGTGTGGCTTGCGATCATCGCAAGTACGATCTGCCTATGCAAGATAGGCAGATCGTACGTTTTTAAGTACCTTACAACCATCGCAAGAAAGCACTATGCTTGCTGTAAGGTGTGTGCCCAGCCATAGGAATACATTGGGATGCATTTCAGGTGTGGACAAAAATTTGTTCTGGTTCAAACATGGTGTGAACAAGCTCTTAATGTGATCTAAGCAAAGGTGCTCACAGACATGAAAATAACAGTAACCTGATATGGCAATTTTCACATGATAAATCTTAGGAAAGAAAACAATTCAACATATTGATAAACCTTATCTGATCTGTATTTTTTTGTTTACAATAAACTAGTGGCCCTCCATAGTGTAATCAGGAATAATTGTGTAATAGTATGATCTCTTTCAAGACACAATAAGCAAAGCTGGGTACACACAATTAACTTTTTTTTTTTTTGTTCAGCCTTGTAGGCTGAACAAAAAAATTACAGATTCCTCCATTCACGCCAACAGCACTCCCACTGTGTACATTGTTTTCATAATACCCTGAACAGTGCTTGCAGCTAACCTGCTGCAAGTGCTTTTCGGCTGATGATTTTCCAGCATGTCTCTTGGGCCATGTTGTTGTTGTTTTTTTTTGTGCTGTTAAAGCTGATTTTGGGTGCGGGTGGTAAGGAGCTCCGGAGTTAAGTGGCCATCTTGCGTGCCGCGGTAGCTACGCCCCCGTTGTTTTTTTTAATGTCTGACGGTTCTCTGATGTCCTGAGTTTGTATAAAGTGAATCTGCCACTATGCTATTGGCTCTACAGCCAAATGGTCTGCGTGCACATTTATTTTTCAGTAAAGTATCTAGCTTACATTAATAACTAGACACTGTCATAGAAGAAAGACCGGCCTCTGTTGGTTCCTCCTTGCTGCGCAGTTACTGCTTGCAGTCAATAGGGAGGCGTGGAGAAACCAAAAAGGGTCCATTTCCAAAGTAATCCTGTCTTTTTAAAGCAAGCTAGGAATTTTGCAAAAGCTAATACTTAAAGTGACATTAAACCCTCAGATTTTTTAACATAAACCAATACTGTAATGTGTGCCTTACTGTAATCCATGGTTGTTTCCCTTCTCTTTGCTGCTCTTCCTATTAAATCTGTATCTGTTGTCGTGCTGGGCAGAACTTCTGTTTTGCAGCAGACTGCCTTGTCTCTGAAATGGATACATGGTGTCTGTGTGTAGGTTTGCAACCTGAGCCAGCACTACAGGAAGAGGCACTTAGCTGCAAAGGAAAGTTCTCCCCCAGCATGAGAAGACATGAGGATTTAAAAGGAAGAGCAGCAAAGAGAAGGGAAACTACTCTGGATTACAGTAAGGCACAAATTACAGTATTGGTTTATGTTAAAAAATCTGAGGGTTTAATGTCACTTTAAGCAGTAGTTGAACCATAGTCCAAAGCAGCATAGTCTTTTTTTATTCTTTGCAGCAGGTTTAAGGGAATTGGTTTCCATTTAAAAAGCTATAAATTATTGTGGAAATTTAACAAGCCGTATTTGTTATCACAATGAGATCCATATGATATATATTAATAGTTACAGACATGTAGATACTATAAAGAATGTTTTCTATTTTTAATATATTAAACTGTTTTTGGGGAAATTACTTTAAATGTAAAGAAGAACTAAAGCCAACACTTTTTTTTTTTTTTTTTTAGTTTTGGACAGAGGGATTAGAACACCTGTCTGGCTTTTATTGCTATCTGTGTCCCTGTTAGATAGATCCACCCTCTCTATTTGTCATGGTGAATGTTATTACAGAGTGAAAATTAAAGAAACTCCCAAATATTGAGTGGTCACCTGAACAGGAATAGAGGGGAAACCTTCCAATAGGGACACATTTTCTGGTGCCTCTGTTACGCTGGTGGAGGAATTACCCGTCACTTCGTGTTGTAGCTATGGGACAGGAAGTGAAGGGAAATCAGACAAAAACATGGGACACACATGACCAAAAAACAAACTGACAGGGGTTTTAACTTTCCCTTACTTCAAGATGAAAAAAAAAGTTTAGCTTTAGTTCCACAATTACTTGCTGGGTAAAAAAAATAAGACACACATATATATATATTTATATATATATATTTTTATTTTCAGAAAGTGTTTATTGAGTATAAGTTTTTATAATGGCTGAAAGGAATTGTTTCACAGGTCAAACGTCTATTTCTACATTCACAATAAGTACAGACACCATCAGTATAATCCCAAGACCTCTGATAGATCCATTTGCACCGTTGCCTATGTCTTCTCCATCTACACCCTCCTCTGTGCTATCCTCCCACCCCCTGATCTCATTCTCACTTGGCCCAGGCTGACCTTTATAGAAAGAAGAAGGCTTGGGTGGAAATGATAATCCTGATAGGTTCCCAGTAGGCAAAGGGCTGTGTGAGGTGCAGTACCGCATGTCCCGCTCCTCTAGAAAACGCAGGTCCCGCCCCCGAAGAGCAGGAGGGGAAGAGCAGGTTACTGGGGAGCTGGAGACACCTGGGGAAGAGCGGAACCAGCCCCATAATGATCGGCAACTGCAATCACAGTGCCATGGGTTTCCATTGAGGCGCAAAAACTGGAGGGAGGGAAGAGAACGCAAAGAGTCTCCTGAGAGAGAAGGGAGGCTGTTGTTAAAGAGAAAAAGAATGGTGAGGCTGCTCAGGCCCGTAAAAGCAGCAGGAGAAATCGTCACTAATCGATTACTATGAAGTAGCAGGCGATCCAGGCTTGAGAGGCCAAAAAACGTGCCAGCTGGGAGCGACTGTAGAAGGTTTCCATACAGAAACAGCTGTGTAAGATTTGAAAGGTCACCAAAGAGGCCATCCTAGAAAAAAAAGAAGAAAAAATGGTCAATTAACAATGTTTAAATTAAATAATTTTCATAATAATAATACAAAAATTGTTGATTCCACCTCTTTTAAATTATATTTGAATAAATATAAATGTCAGAGTATACTGGTTATACTAATTGCAGTTTCAGAAAGCTATGCCCCTTAATTCAGTAAACCCTGCCAATTCTGTTCAAAACTCCACCCCCATACAACTGCCTGACACTAGTTAGCACTTTTCTGGGGGTTGTCTTATTGAGACTGGAGAGTAATTTTACCAAAGATTTCATCCAGGTATGTCTGCCAGGGTATGCTTGTAGTTCAAAGTTTATGCTTATCTGAGGACACTACTTTCTCAAGTTTATTTCTTGAGAAGTAGACAAATAATAGACTGACTTCCAAAGCATTTTACTTTTAATGTAGACTGCCTTTAACAGATTTTTTTCTTTCTGCCCCTAAGTTTTTCATACCTTCTGGTAGGGTTGATTTGCTGCATGTTCACTTTCAAAGTGAGTATTACTTATCTTAGTGATAACAAACAAAATAAAATTTTACTTTTCAAAGAACACCCAATCATGTGCAAGGTAAAAAGTAAAAGAAAAAAAAAAGCAGGATTAGTACTCGCACATGATTGGATGATTGAAGTCAGCACAACCTCACTTTATCTGACAAATGAAAATTCTTAAAAGCTAAATGAAAATTCACATTGCGAAGAGAAAATTCACCCTAGATTTCAAGGGCTCTTACGAACCAAGCAGAATTTTAAAAAGCAACAGCTTTACTTAGGAAAAAAGTAATTTATATTGAAAATGAATTTATAAGGGTTAAAGCTCATTTCATGTGTCCCACCTGCCCTGACCTTTACTATGTTCATGGATATGCTTAGGCTGGGTTCACACCTCAGCGTATTGGAAACTCGCGTTTGCCGCGCGTTTCTTAACGCGATTTGTGGTAAACAAAACGTGTGGCAAACGCGAGTTTCCAAGCGGGTATCCGGCTGTATCCTAATGGACACAGCGGGATATGCGCGTTAATACGCCCCAAAGAAGCTCCTGTACTTCTTTGGGGGTAGGGCGGTTTCCCACGCATTCGTACTCGCGGAAAAACGCCCAGATGGGAACCATGCACATTGAAAATAATGGCATTTCCCTGTTTGAGCGTTTTTCCACGAGTACGAACGCGCGGAAAAACGCCCAGGTGGGAACCGGGCCTTACTGTCTGCCACAGCCCAGAGCTTTATTACATCATGAGATTACATATGCTTTGTACCACCTGTCGTTACTCCTTCAGTTTATGTACATCTTCCCTTGTTTACGCCATTTGCAACATTCTACAGCCGGAGAATGTTTACTTTTGTGTATTAAATCCTGGGGACAACTTAATATCAATAGATATGCTTGCCTTAAGAGAAGGGGCCTGCCAAAGGTGAGGCTACACTTTCCTGCTAACCGGTCACTCCTCTCCTCAATATCTTACTGTATGAAGACCGGTTATCATGCAGAATATATTCAGTGTATCAAAAGGCTCATATTGTTCTGGTGCTAAAGCACAAGCAGCAGCACCGACATGGAGCTTCTGTTTGGGTAAGTAACCAATGACTCTAATGCTAGGATTGTCATCCTCCCACTGACGCCAACAATGGGGTGTTTTTTCTACCCAAGACACTAATGATGGGGCGTTCTTCCTACCTCTGTCTGCCAAGGCTAGGGCATTTTTTCCCCATAAATACCAAAGATAGGGCATTCTTCCTCCCACTGACTGACAACACTGGAGCACTCTTTCTCCCACTGACCACCGAAGCTAGTGACCTTTTTCTTCCTACTGACCACTGATTCTGGGGTATTTTTTATCTCCCACAAATTCAACAAAGTTTATCATTTGGTAAACTTTGCTAGTATTTCTTAAAATGGATTGAAGAAACTGAAAAACTATTTTTACTTTTCCTGCCACTTGTTTGCTGCAAATGATTGTGGAATAGAGCAGAGATTAGACCTGGGTGATCAGCCCCAACCAGCTGCTTATGGCTAGTGATTATTATTGTTAATTTTATATAGCGCTGATAATTCACACTGCACTTTACATGGTTGCACATTCACATCAGTCCCTGCTCCTTAAGCTTACAATATGAGGAGCATCTAGTGATGCACCGATATCCAGAGCTGGTGCAAGGATTTTTACCTACACAGGTGAAGGTGCCCTCAGGCGGCTGCCTATGCAGCCTTATGCTAGCGTCAGCCCTGTTGCACGGTCTGCAGTCGGCAAGCAAGTCAGATCTGGGGCAAGTCCCTTACCTTTCACTGATTGTGGCTTGGCCTGTTTCCTCCTGGATATGTCCATGACTCATCCAATCTCTACCCTCACTGCTAAAAAAAAAATCTTAAAATCAAGCAGCGAACAATTCTTATACTAGTTTCCTTAGTTGTGATGAGAAATCCTCGGTTGATACCTGCGGCCGCATGGCTGGATCCCCTCTTGCAAAAAAACAAACAAAAAAAGAAAGAAAAAAAAAAACAACTCTTCCTCCCTCCCTTTTGACTTTATTGTGTTAAAGTTCCTATTGTATGGGATTCTGACTCCCTTGGGTGCAGAGGGAGGCTGCGAGAGAAGGGAGGAGCACTGATGCTCCCCACCCAAAGCCCTAGAAGTAGTCACATAAGTGCTGCAGGAAAAAAATTAGTAAAAATGCTTTAGCCTGGGGGGGAAGGGTGCTAATTAAATTAGGCGATTTACTGGCCGACGGCTCTGTGTTGTCTGAGCCCAATGTGCCTGGTGCTGAACTAGACAGGGTTGATGGCAGCACTGGTAATCAAGTAGGGTTGCCACATGTCTGGGAATCACCCGGACTGTACGGGTTTTGAACCCTGTGCCCGGGCGGGAGGCCGCCGCTCACCCGTACTTGGTGGCACCATGACGAGCGGTGGGTAGCAGGGAGAGAGCGGCAGTCAGCGAGCACCGGGTGGCGCTGTTTTCAGTACCTCGATTCTCCCTCTCTCTCACTCCTTTGATCCTCCGTGGCTTGCTGGCACGGTGTGAGTCAGAGGAAGTTACATCACCGAGAGAGCAGAGAGGGAGAAGTCATTCTCCAGCAGTCGGCATGGACAGCGCTTTCATCTTAACAGGTATGTCTATTACATTTTTTTTACATAATTGCAAGGTAAGAGGGGGAAAGGGAGGGGGGAGAAAAAGGGGAAAGGGGGAGAGGGAACGGGGGGTTGGTATAACATTACAGTATGTCATGCTGGTTGTATATTGTGAAAGGGGCCCTGTTGTTTTGGCTATGCAAGCACCCCTGGAGGTGTTACGGCTTGTTCACACCCATTAGGGTGCGTTCCAGAGCGGTAGCTGCTGGAACGCACAGCAATCGCACAGGAAACTCCCCCCCCCCCTTCGTTCTGGGCGGGGCCATGGCGTTATATTGAGATCAATGGCACTGCAGCCACGCCCCTCATCCACAGTGTGATCGGACGCGTGACAAAACATTGTTAATGTCTGCAAAGGTTACAAGTGTTTACAAACGACAAATGTCACCAATTCAAGTTAATGATCAGGTGTCAGCCGCTGCATGTAAATGCCTGCATGTAATCCTTTCACATATGATTACATGCGGTATATAATCATATGTGAAAGAATTACATGCAGTTAGGAATCAATCACTGTCCCTGGATACACGATCCCTGGATACACTGGATCGTGTATCCAGGAAAAGTGATTGTTTTTGTAACTGCATGTAATCATATCACACATGATTAGATGTGGTATGCAGGCGTTTGCATGCAGCAGCTATCACCTGATCATTAACTTGAATGGGTGACAGTTGCTGCATGTAAATGCTAGATTAGGGATTCCTGTGCAGGAAAACACAAGTTTGTGGCACAGAAATCCCTAATCGCACCTGTGAATGGGGCCTCATACACACACCCCTTCAAATTCTGAATGAATAAATAATATTTTTAATAAAGGTGTACCGAAATGGAAATTTCAAAACCGAAATGAAACCGAAATTAAAAAAATGTCAGGCTGAAACCGAAAATGTTTTCTGTTTTTAACTTTTTCAAATTTTTTAAATATTTTATTTTTTATAAACTTTTTAATTTTTAATATTGATTCATTTTTAATAAATATTTTTATTTTTTACTTTACTTTTAGGGGCTTTGGGGAAATATTAGGGGTCTAAACATGCACCTGATATTTCCCTTTTAAAATAAAAAAAAGAGATTGAGGGCCCAGAGTCCTCAATCTCTTTTTCTGCAGCCCCTGTTATAAATGAATAGGAATCCTCTTGAGTTTTCTTGTTCATTCATATTCATAACATGAGAACATAGTGTATTTACTATATCTACAATCATGAATGAACAGGAGGTGATGCAGATCACTCCCATTCATTCATAATTGAGGATATAGTAACCATACTATGTCCTCAATTATTTACAAACACTCAGCGATCACTGATCACTGAGTGTTTTCCCTTGCCCCCCTTCCAAGCCCCTCACACACATAATAATACACTCCCCCCTTCCAAGCCCCCCGCACACATATTAATACGCTCCCCCTTCCTCCCCCCGCGAGCCCCCTCACCTGCTTACTTTTTTGTAGGGAGGATTCGAGGAGGCACATCATTCCCTAGCGATCTAGTGGTTGATTAGTAAGGTCTGGTGCAGACCTTTACTAATCCATCCTTTCGGCCAGAGCTCCAGCCGAAAAGAGCTAGTGATTGCTGGAGCTGACAGGAGCAGCTCTGCGGTCTGCATTCAACAGAAATGTGTGTAGCTGCTCCCGCAAGTCAGCTGGCTACATAGTACCGGTTCATGGGCCGGTACTTTGAGACCCCTGCTATAGGGTGCTTCAATGTATGGATCACTAACCTATAGAGTGCTTCAATATACTGAGCTTTAGTGTATGGATCTCTCATCAATCTATAGTGTTGTTCAATGTATGGCTCTCTTAGCAATCTATAGTGTGCGATCACGCTTTCCTAGCTCATCCAAGGCAGGATGTG